CTTATGATGTCAGACACATCTTGGTTGAAAGAAGAAAACACCATAAAGATATTTATCTGTGTTTCATTGGTAAAGCAAAGGCATTTGACTGTACAGGTCATAACATTTATCTATAACACTGGGAAGAATGAGAATTCCAGAACACTTAATTGTGCCCATGTGGAACCTGTACACAAATCAAGAGGCAGTTGTTTGAACAAAACATGGGGATACTGAATGGTTTAAAATTGAAAAAGGTGTGCAGTAGGCTTGTATATTTTCACTTTACTTATCCAATCTATATGCTGAACAAATAATCTGAGAAGATGGGCTATATGATGAAGAATGGAGCTTCAGGATTGGAGGAAGACTTATTAATAATCTGAAATATGCAGTTGACATAATCTTGCTTGCCAAAAATGAAGAAGACTTGAAGCACTTACTGATAAAAATGAAAGACTATATAGCCTTTGGTATGGATTATACCTCAATATAAAGAAAACAAAAATCCTCACAACTGGACCAATAAGCAACACCATGATAAACAGAGAAAAGATTGAAGTTGTCAAGGATTTCATTTTACTTGGATCCACCATCAAAGTCCATGGAAGCAGTGGTCAAGAAATCAAATGACGTATTGGATTGGACACTCTTTAAAGTGTTGAGAAGCAAAGATGTCACTCTGAGGACTAATGCATGCCTGATGAAAGCGAGTGTATTTTCAACTGCTTCATATGCATGCGAAAGCTGAACAATGAAAAAGGAAGACAAAAGCACTGATTTACTTGAATTGTGTTGACAAAATCCACTATAGACTGCCAGAAGAACAAACAAATCTGTCTTTAAGGAAGTATAGCCAGAATATTCCTTAGAAGTGAGGATGGCGAGACTTTGTGTCACTTACTTTGGACACGTCATCAGAAGGGACTAATTGCTGGAGAAGGACATCAGGGTTGGTACAGTAGAGCATCAGAGAAAAAAAGAGATCCTCAATGAGCTAGATTGACACAGTGGCTGCAACAATGACCCCAAACATAGCAACAACTGCAAGGATGGTGCAGGACTGGGCAACGTTTCCCTCTGTTATACATAAGGTCACTGTGAGTCTTAGCAAATCAATGCCACCTAACAACAATAGCATCAATAACAATAACAGCTTGCCTACCCAGCAAGCTTACTACTGCTTTGGACAACTTGTATTTCTATTGTCCTAGAAGACAATTTCACACATTTTCCTCTCTCCTCTAATCTCCAACAATGTCCCTCTACCTTGCTTTCAGTCCATGTCATTACTTTTTACTATCCTGAGAAAAATGGAGGCCACAGAAGAGAACACTAGGTCTTCACAGTATATCTACCAACCTACCTGCATCTATACCTGTACACTCCATTTTCCTGTTTAAAAAAAAAAAAGCTGGCTGTATTACAAGGCCAGACCTCCCATCTATATATTGGATCCCAACCCCCCTTGCTCCCTTTATCTCCTCTGCATCCCACATCAATTTCCTCTTTTGGAACATTTCCTTTAGCACATAAATATTCTAAAATACCACCCATCTTAATTAAATACACTCTCACTAGACCCCACTTCTTGCCCAATTTTCCTGTTTCTCTGCTTCTTTAAAGCAAAATTCCTCAAAAGATCTCATTCTCAACCCCCCTCTTGGAAATGAATGTGAGTCTTTACTGAAGTCATTTGAAGACACTGAGAAGGTGGTCTTACAGGCCAAATCATAAAATTTCTTTAAACTTCCTTTTTGTTTTCTTTCCAGAGTTCCTGTCCTCTTAGAAGGTACCTACATTTCTCCTCATGCTCTGTGGTATTTGACTTGTCCCATTTGTATGTCAAAATAACCCCTGTGGTGGGCAGAATTCTATGATGATGCCCTAGACACACTGGGATCATGCCACAGAGCAGGAAGGCAAAGGGGAGACTCCTCTTTCCTGAATTTATCTGGGTAAATTTTACAAATAGGAGTTTTATCCCCTATGTCCAAACATTTTTACTTCCTTTTAGTGCTTATTCCCAGTGTTCCTCTGTTGCCCTAAGCCTTCACCTAGGACCCTAAAACTGCCCCAGAACTCATTAATTTCCAGCCCCTCAACCCTAATTTCCTACCCAGTAAAATTTCCCTGTTTTTAATTGATTATCTCAACTCAAGTGTTATGAAGGAGAAAAATATGATTGAACTACTATAATTTATAACAATGGGTAAATATATCATTCAACCATCCCAGGAATCTTCACATATTTAAAAGAGAGAATATGTATAAAATCAATTATCTGTAATTGGTAGAATTTGGTGCAGAAGTGCAATGATATGGAAAAAAAATACCGAAGATAAAACATATTTGGAAGGCTGTGAAATAATCACCAAATAACTCTTTGCACATAAGACATCAATAAATATTTGTTAAAGGTGTGAGTAAGTGAAAGCAATCATGCCAAAACAACCTAGTGGTCTTCCCTTGGGGTAGCTCACTTGAATGATTCTTTTTTTTCCCCATGAAGCTAAAGCTGGTTTTCACATTGGCTCACTCAACAAGGTCAGGAAGCGGTGACACAAAGATGGTGGTGTTTAAGGTGAATGGGCAGGAAAAGGAAATACCATATATGCATAGATCAGGCTTTTGTTTTTGTTTTTAGTTTTTATGAGATCCCCATTATTTGTTTTTTGTTGCTTGTGTAATCATTGTTGTACTGGATAATCTACCACTGAAAAAAATTAGATCCCAAAGCTTTCCTCCTATATTGTCTCCCAAGAACTTTCTGGTTTTTGATTTAGGTCCTCGGTCCATTTTAAATTAGTTTTTGTGTACGTTGTGAGGTATGGATTACGTTTCGCTTTTCTGCATGTGGATCTCGGAGGTGATTTTAAAGAACACACCTGAGTCATCAATCTCTTACTCCAGTCTCCATGGTAAGAGTCAGGACTGTGCAGTTTTCTTTGCCTTCTCAGGCAGAAAAGGATTTCTATGCTAGTAATGGCCTCTCTGCAAATGTTAAAACTCCCTTCACATTCAGTGGAGCCATTCTCATCTACAGGACCAACAAATTCCATCCCAGTTTAGAGATAAGAAAACCAACAAAGTAACCGAGATATAAAAATACTCTCTTAAGGGTTTACCTCTATTCTGCTATTGAGACCTTCCAGTTAATTCTTTTTTCAGTTGCTAAAAAGTATTAATTTTTATTTTATTTTACTGTTGTTGTTTGCTCTGTATATCACAGCAAAATATACACTAACTCAACACTTTCTACATGTACAATTTAATGACATTGATTACATTCTTTGAGTTGTGCAACCATTCTCATCTTCCATTTCTCTGGTGGCGTAGTGCCTAAGGTGAGCTGGCAGTTCAAACCCACCAGCCACTCCTTGGAAGAAAGATTGGGCAATCTACTTCTGTAGAGACAGCACTTTGGAAACCCAAGGTGGTGTCGCTATGAATCGAATCGACTCAACAGCAGTGAGTTTGGTTTTTTTGGTCTCTACCATAAATTGACTGCTCCCTAAGGTTCCCATCTAGAATTTCTATTGTCTTTGATCCCATATAGTTAGTTCCCCAAAAAGCACAATACTTAAGCAGAATAGGTTTGGTTTTGTTTTAAAACAAAGTGTTTTTTGTTTTTTTCTTAGAAAAAAATGGATTCTTCACTGATAATGTAGGCCAGATGTAATTTAAAATGGTAAAGCAATAATGTATTTTGGGCAATAATTATTTATTATTTAAAGTCTGGAATTAAAGTTCTCACTGTAATTTATACCTTTCTAAGATTGCCAACCTGAAAAAACCCGTCAACCTGGGATAAAGAGACTTCCTACATGGAGATACAAAAGGACTATGGAAGGCAAGAGTTTATCTGGAGGCCCCGTGAAACCACATATACTCTGGGCCTTAACACACAGATCTAAGTAGGTCTGGTGTGGAAGCAAGTTGTAGTTTAACAAAGGCCTTAGGTGATTCTGATAGCAGCTGGCCTGAAGATAGTTCCAAAGGTAGAAGATCTGGGCCAGCGAGGAAGGAGACCTGAATTAAAGATACAGTAGCAAGGAGAAAGTAAGAGAAGATTCCAGACATGTTTACAAGGCAGAATTAATGGTCTCTATGAGTTGGAATCTACTACACAGGTTTACTGATTTATTAAGTAACCCTGGTGGTGCACTGGTTTAGCTCTGGTTAGGTTGTCGGTTGGAACCCCCAACCTGCTCCTCAGGAGAAAGATGTGGCAGTCTGTGTCTGTACAGCCTTGAAAACCCTACCTAGTTCTACTCTGTCCTATAGGGTCACTATGAGTTGGAATTGACTCCACCGCAACAAGCAGTGATTCACTGGATATGACTGAGTTAGTGGGATAAGAGTTTCATTAATGCGAGAATATTAAGAACTCAAAAAGGTCAGATTTTGTGGGTTTTTTTAAGATGGAAGTTGAGAGAGTAAGGGTAGTCCTGCTACAATGATGAATTCCACCACGGACTGAAACAGGTGCTTATGGGTTATTTGTAAGAGATTCAAAAACATAGCCCGGAGTTTCAAATACGTTGTCTAGGAAGTGCAAACACCTGTTAGGGAGTCATTGGTACCTTAACGGTAGTTGAAATCTAGAAATTAATATATCAATAAAAAAATTTACTCACTCGGTTTTTGCAAAATATGAGTTCGCCGAGCAAGAACTGTATCAGAAGTGTGTCAGGGAAGGAAGAAAGGCTAAAGTGGCAAAATATCCTTTATTTGGCAGACCCTATCTAAGCGACCACACTAAGCAGGACCCACGCCTCAGCAAAGGTTTAATCGCGAGAGATCGGGTAAACGCTTCCACTCTACTGCTTAAGTCCCACTCCAGAACGACTATAGAGAGTACACCCTAAGGACTGAAAGGTCCGAATCCTTCACCCAGTACAAGGGAAGTGGGCGGCAAACTGGACCAAAATGTGTGGTCAGGCCGGGAGACTCCTAGTCCACTGAGTCCAGCAATCTTTCCGTCCTCCCCAGGCCTTCAGCAGGCCAATCCCACTCACTTCTCGGAGGGTCCGACCCAGCATGGTCTTCGTGCTCAGCCTGCCAGCACAGGGCCAAGTGACAAGGAAGAAAAAAGAGGTCAACAGCCCCTGACGATATTACATGGGCGCAGCCATCTTTGATTGTCACTGTACATTTTAGCACCAAGTACTTGGATTGGTCGAATTGCAGCCGGGGAAAATGATCCTTGCACGCGATTGGTTGGCTCTGCAAATCGGTACCCCGCAGCGAAGGAGAACGGATCGACAAGGAGACTCAGAGCTAAGGTTGCAGAGGGAAAGCGGGACCATCGGAACTCCGGGGCGTTCGGATCGCAAGCGGTGTTTGCTTATCCTTCCGAGGGCTCCCAGGACAAGAAGGGGTTTTTTGGGGCTGCATGCCTCCCCCACTTTTTTTTCAAATTTAAAGGAGAGGTTAGGTCGGGTTGTAAAGGGAGAGGAAACTAAAATACGAACTGGAATATTAAATGGAACGTTTCAGATGCTTACAGCCCGAAAACTGTTCCATAGTCTTCTAACTTCAGTTGTTCCATTAGGTTAACTTCCGTTTTGAATGCTCCCTTTTGAAATCGGCTAGTATGTTTGGCAAGATTTGACAGAATTCAGGAGTAAAAGTTTGTTCCAATCCAAGTGCGTTTAGTGGAGACAGGTAGTTGAACCACTGTTGATGATGGAATTTCTGAAGAACTGTATACTTAGAAAAAATGCGTGCACTGCAATTCACTTCTGGAGAAGTAAAATTGTACAAAAGACTTCAGTCGTTAGAAAGATTAGTACTACCTCTCCAAAGTGCAGTGTCATGCCCGCTTGGGTTATAGATAAATATGGGCAGAACGAAGTGCTTCGATTTACTCAGAACATGATGATACCCATCATACACTATCCAAATGAAGTCATTATCAAAGTCCATGCTGCGAGTGTAAATCCTATAGATATTAATATGAGAAGTAAGTTTTCAAAAGATATTCTTTGTTACTTTATTATTCTTTTGGTTCTTCAGAGAATTTCCTCAGGTATACAGTTTTAAAAGATCAGTTGTTACTTGACTATACTTTGGTTAACACAAAGGAATTATTTAGGTTTTTAACAGTATCTCAGATATTTCCCAGATTTTTGAAATTGCTGTATACTTTAATCTTTTCAAAATAGAACTTTAAATTGTACCCGTTCTTTTAAAAAGGAGTCCTGGTTGAACAGTGGTTAACGTGATCGGCTGCTAACCTAAAGGTTGGTGGTTCGAACCCACCAGCTGCTCAGCAGGAGAAAGCTGCGACAGCTTGCTTCTTATTGACTCCTTTTAAAACAAATTGGGGCTTGAGAATTATGTCTACAACTGACTTTCTCACTTGGTCTCCTGGGAATTTAGTGGTATCCTGAGGTCAATCACAGGTCTTGGAGGTGGGCTTACGTTTTCTTATTGGCTCAGAATTTGTATTATTATTATTATTATTTTTAATAATAATATCCTTGTCCTCTTTGCTCACATCTTCGTTTATTGATCTATGGATAAAGGAATAGAGTAGGCCACGATATAGACACAATACTTTCCTCATTTCTGAGGTATACTCTGCCTTGAGCTACTTCTTGCTCTGCTCCATTCTAAATGGGAATCACAGCACACAACATAATGTTATATTAATTAGTTAGAGGATATTGACACAAAACTTGGAGAGCATGATATTTCTTAAATATAAGCTATGCAGTTGTGTTTATTGAAATAATGAGAAGAGTGATTATTTGTGAATTATTTTTAATTTTGGAAAATAATAACAAAATATTGCCAGTCTTGCTATCGGAATCCAGCTTTATCTTCTGAAGAAATAAAAAAACATATTTTGGGATGATTGACCAGTTAATCTCAGTATTTCAAGTGAGCTGCCGTATGTAGTTTAATTTAACAATGAATCTTTAGTTTGAAGGGCTCGTGTGTCCACCTAAATTCTACTCCTTAACAGATCACCTCAGTAATAATTCTGACATGTGAACTCTGCAAGATGAATTAAATTTCATTCTCATTTCATTCTCAATTAAAATTAATGATACAATGAACTATTTTGTGTGATTTATAGAGAAGTTAGTAAGTGTTGAGATTTTTACTTCATTTCTCTGTTTGTTTTTCCGGGAGTGTTGTGATAGATTAGGAGAGTAATTGTCAAATTTTTAAGTCTTGGGACTTTTTACACTCTTAAGAATTATTGCACTTTTGTTTTATATGAGTTGGAGCTATTGGTATTTACTTTGTTAGAAATTAAAACAAATTTTAATATGTATTAATTTGTTAAAAATGTAGTGAACGTCCGTGTGTTAACATTACATCAGATCAGAATAAAAATATGAAATGAATTAATAATAATTACTGGAAGACAATTACATATATGTGGCACTAAAACATAATAGTTGACAGCATGAGATCTACCTTCAAAAATCTTATAATGAAAAATAGCTGTATTTTTCAAAATAAGAAAAAGAATGTAGAGAGAAGTAGCATTGTTTTAACTTTTGCAAATCTCTTTACTCTGTCTTAATACGATAACTGGATTTTCATATCTACTTCTGCATTCAATCCATTGTAATTGGTTATTTGAAGTACTGCATATGAAGAAAAGCCAGCCCCACAGAGACTAGTAGTTGGAAAAGAAAGCACTTCTTACACTCCTTGAAAATGTCTTGGGGACTTAACAGAACTTGGGCAATTACCAGATTAGGGAAATAAAGTTCCATTTCATGGTGGTTAGCTCTTTTGGTGACTCCAACTTTGAAGGCTCCTTTTGTTAATTTAGTGGATGTATCAAGACCTGTGCTGTCTGTCCGGTATGTTAAGCAGTAACTCATATGATTGTTGAGCAACTAACATGTGGCTAGTGTGACTTGAGATGTGCAGTCAGTATAAAATATACACAAGATTTCAAGGATTTAGTACCAAAAAAATTAATGTAAAAGTTTCGTTAAAAATTTCATATTGATTTCATGTTGCACTGTTAGTATTTTGTTTATGTTAAGTAAGATATTATTCAAATTAGAGGAGCTCTGGTAGCATAGTGGCTAAAAGCACTTGACTGCTAACCAGAAGGTTGGCGGTTCAAACCCACCAGCCACTCCTCGGAAGGAAGGTTGGGCAATCCTACTTCCGTGGTGATACTGCCTCGGAAACCCAAGGAGGGGTCGCTATGAGTCGGGGCTGACTCGACGGCCCATAACAACAACATTATTCAAATTAATTTTACTTGTTTCTTTTTACTTTTTTCAGTGCCTGCCAGAAAATTTGAAATTACATATGTGGTTTGCTTTATATTTTTATTGGACAGCACTGATCTAGACAATATGACAATATGGAATAGCTCCACACATTGCTTTGAAGGAAAACAGTTTGGGGGAAAGACTTTAACTCTTAAGAGTATATGCAATTAGAAAGCTGTATTAAAAATAAATTGAAATGACTTAATATCATTGCCTCATGAAATCTACTTTTGCATCTTTGTTTGCTTTGAAGTAACAATGGCTATTACTAGTTGGGCCTGTTAAAAATTATTTTATTTCTTTTACATTGGGCCTAGAGATAATTTAATTTTTATAGGATGTCTTTAAGTGGTAGGTTTACACCCAAGGATCAGTATTTTTTTCATCTCCTTTGGCTGTAAGCTCTTTGAAAACAGATCCCATGCTTTGTCAACTGCTACCTGTGTCAGTACATCACAGATGTAGTTGTCATTCAGTCATTATTTTTAGGTCATTTTACATTTTTATTCTGACTTAATATTATAAACTTAAATTAGCAGTCTTTTTTATATTTTTATATATAAGGAGTAATTTTTATATTTTGTCTTTGTTTAGATTTGTCACCTTTTTATTTCTTTGCACAATATGTGTGTAGGTTATAATCTCAGTGGAATGGTTGTATTTGGAGTTTGTCTTGGCTGCTATTTAATAATAAAATATTGTAATACATTTTGCTTTTATATAGTGTTCTTGAGACATCTCAGTTTTTTATGACTTGATGAAATAGTATTATTTGTAAGTTATCCTCTTTTTTTTTCCCCCCTGCCCAGATTTTTTTTTTTTGAGAATTTGTTATTGTTGCAGAAGATATCTGCAATGGTAGCTTGGGGAAATAAAATAATGAGCAGAAGATTGTAAACTGTAAGAGACAGTTATTTCCCTTGACAAGAAAGCAGGGGACATACACAATGATTTTGCAAGATGAAGGGCAGGCTCTTTTCTGGAGATGCTACTACTATTGAATATAAATAATAAATCATAGAAATGGCAAAAGAAATGGATTGTCTTAGAAATGGGGAAAAAAAATACATACAGCCAACTGAATCCTACCAACAGAGTTTGATTTCTATGTTGTTGTGTTTGCCATCAAGTCAGTCATAGCAACCCCTCTTTGGGTTTCTGAGGCAGTTCCTGTGAACTAGCCAGGGCTACTCAGTTGAAACATTAGCATATCAGGGTGACCAAGAAAACTGTTCAAACAGCCTTGAGCTATGGGCCCTGTACCTCATCACGAAAACTTTTTTCTGGCGTGGCTAAATTCCTACTTCTGTTGCTCAAATCACATAGGAATTTCAGTGAGTAATTGTTTAGTTATGTTTCAGTAGTACAAAAAATACCATGCAGGAAGAGTGAAACATGACTTCTGTATTAACATGTGAAGCTGTTTTTTTCTCCTCTGATAGATGGAATTCCTAACTAGCCAAATGGCAAATGTGTAATGTTGGAATAATGGCCATCAGCTTAGATTTTCTGGACAACCTCAACTTTGAAATACTTTCTCCCATGTGTCTTGATTTTTTTCTTAGCAAAACAGCTTCTGTAAGCATCCCACCTTTTAGCTTGTCTCCCCATACCTTCTTCCTCTCCTGCTGTGGGGATTAACTGTCTAGTCCCCCATCGAAAGCCAACACTCCACTTGTGTGCTAGGTCTCATCCCCTTTCACCTGCTGGAGCATTGTTCTAGCAGTTCTGTTCTGCATCATCAGCCTTTGCCTTTCTACTGCATGCTCTCGTGTCTCCTCTTAGGGATTAATTTCATAGAGTA